GCTAACTACAGACACTCTGCAGAACCAAGGTAACAAAACCCTGACGAATGAGGAATCTCAACACCTGGCTGGTGCAAACCCGGACTGGCACACGCAAGACCTCTTCAGCGCTATCGAACGCGGCGAATACCCGTCCTGGGACGTAAAAGTGCAAGTCCTGACTCCAGAGCAAGCTGAGTCATTCCGTTGGAACATCTTCGACGTGACCAAGATCTGGCCGCACAAGGAGGTGCCGCTGCGAGACATCGGCAAACTGACGCTATGCCGCAACCCACAAAACTACTTCGCCGAGGTCGAACAGATCGCTTTCGCCCCTGCGCACCTCGTGCCCGGCATCGAGCCCACCGCAGATCCGATGCTACAAGCGCGTTTATTCAGCTATCCGGACACGCACCGCCATCGCCTCGGCGTCAACTACCAACAGCTGCCCGTGAACCGCCCTCTCCATGCGTACGCGCCCTTCCAGCGCGACGGCCCAGCTATAGTGGACGGGAACTATGGCTCCGATCTTAATTATCCGTCGCCTTTGCGGCCGAACGTGTACGAGGCTGTCGATGTGAACATTGGACACGAGGAGTGGGTTGGCAAGGCGACATATAACCTACAGGAGATTACGGATGAGGACTTCGTGCAAGCTAAGTGGCTGTGGGATGTGCTGGGGAAGACGGAGGGTCAGCAAGCCCATTTCGTGCACAATATAGCCGTTCATCTTTGGGCAGCGATCCCGGAAGTGCGAAACAGGACGTATGGCATGTTTGCTCGTGTTGACACGGAGCTCAGCAAACAGATCGAGAAGGCCACTGAAGAACAAGTTGCCACAGTTGAGAAGGATAAGGTGGTAGCTGCTCTTACGGCGCGGCTAGAGAGTAAGGTGTGATGCTGGTTTGACAATAGTATAGGGAATTACATGTATGATGGTGCCAACTCCTCTTTACTCGTTGAGATCCCAAAGTTAGTTTAGAACATTTTCTTATTCCAAAAATATTTAGAAGTTTTACCATAAACATGCTGATGCAGGGCTTTGGCAAGGCATGGCCAATCGGTGATGGCTTTAGGCCACGTTTCACTGCAATTTTAGCATCGTCAAAGGGGTGCGGTAGAGTTTGTCAACCACATTGGTACTCGCCACCTAATATACGAGCCACATAAACACAATCGTGGACTGAAGTGATCCTCCAAGTATAGCCTCTCAGGCTCCTTTCACCCTTTCATTAACTCTGTTCGCCGGGCGATATATTCACGTGGTATGCCATTTAGTTTTAGTGTTAGTTCGCAACGTTAAACGCACACTTTCAGCTTCTCAGCTGGTTGCCAAGAAGTATCACGTGAATGTACTATCCCACGTACAGAATTGGAATGTCAAGGTTCCGAATTATCAAAAGTATGTAGTCCGTTTAGCTAGTACATGTAACTACTTACAAGTTTTTGGGCTAAGTAGCAATCTTTATTCTTAACAAATTGGTTCCTTTTGAGATGATTCATTTGTGCACAAAGGTCAGCAAACGCTTTCGTCTGGAGTCCTCTTTAGCCCAATGATTATCACCAAGCTTTTCAATTGTAATTATGTTTAACTCGACAGAATTTGATACGCCCAGTAGACCATGATGTTCAGATGCAATCTGCTACCAGCTTTTGTTAACCTTGGTTATGCATAATTGCCTAAATTAGTGTACTGATTTCTTCTTCTCTTGAGGGTAGTAAATGGTCGCCCGAAAGCAAGCCACCTTTTTCGTTGGGGCGGGTTCTTTAAAATATCATTCAGGTCAACCACCGTGGCGGAGAATGGTGTATGGAGACCCAAGCCCCTGTCATCGAACGTCTCGCCGCCGTATATCATCAGATGGTTGGGGTATTTCTTGAAAATCTGGATGGCGCGGCTGTAGACAGCACCGGCCGGGGTGGCATGTTCCTCCCACGCATCTAAAGCGCCGCCCGCGCGGTTAGTCCACACTTGTGGGTGATCGGCATCTGAAACGACGATGGTTCCGTTCGGCCCGCCAATGGGACTCCACACGACGTAGGGGCTGGCATTGGGTACCGACTTGTTGTTGACAACTATGGGCTGGTCTACATTCTTGCCGAAGTCGAGTGGGTTGTCGGCTATCACATAATACACAGGATAGTTCTGACCGTATGACGATGAGTTGCCAATGGGCCGCTCATGCACAAGCATCCATTTGTTAATGGGTGGAATATACGAGATGACCGTCATGCCTGGACGAGCTGTGTACAGGTCGTATGCGACATCATTAACAGGTGGGTCCCAGTGCTTCATGTCCTTTGAAACTTGATGTGAGAGCTTCTGACCATGCTTAGGGTCACGCTGGTCCGAGTAGTAGACCACAACGGAGCCATTGTAGGGCCTTTGGATTTTCCGTTAGCCAAACGAGATTTAACACAGAGACTGCAGCGAGACTTACAAGATATACGGTTCCCAGACTGGAGTTGCTCCATTGGTAGTATTCGGCCTTCCGCCCATAGCTACATGGCTAACAAACTCCCATGTTCGTGCTTTATCTCTACTAGCATATAGATCGATTCGAGTACCGTTGTCGCTCCAACTGTTTCCTGCACCCAAGATCGTGCCAGCATCATAATCTCCGATAGGCTCAGTGAGCTCTGCCAAGGCTGGCTGCGCCGACATTCCCCAGCCATTGACCTGATCCTTGAGGTTGGAGATGTGTTTCCAGCTGGCACCACCATCCTTGCTGGAGAAGATAGGGAAGTACCCCGGCACGGGCCCTGAAAATGACGTTGTTGCGATGATAGTGCCATCCTGGAGCTCGACGTATCGTGGGTAGGTAACGCTTTGGTTGCCATGTGTCGCCATGATGGTGTTATTGACGAAGAACCCCCATGGCTCTGGCTCCCTGTGGATCTGCTGCGCAACCCCGCGCTGCACTAGGAGACCAGCGAGCGCAAGCGAGAGAAACATCGTGAGTTTTGGGTCGAGTGATGTGCTAGAGCTGGCTTGGCAACATCGATAAGCTCGTAGCATTGATGAAACTGACGAGGGTTATGTATGTTTCATCCTGACCTGATTTTCCGTCGTCCTCAGGTGAGCCGAAAGTAACTTTGAAGATGCGCACCAATGAGTTGGTACGCTGAATATAACCGGTACCGAGATCTACTTGGAAGCTATGCACGGCCTTTTAACCGTACCGAAACTATTTGTTAGGATGTCGATCTGGGGCGAAAAGCTCGTGAGGGGGAGATCCTCGATGTGACTTACGAGAGTCCCGATTTGCTGGGCCATAATCAAGGTGATATTGGATTCGGCTGATCATTCCCGACAATGTCATGCTTTCGCGGCTGATATAGATATTATTTGAACTGGCCCAGGCTACGTATTTGATTCAGCATAGCTTTCCCAACCTGCAATTAATTACAATTGTTGAGGAGAAATAGCGACTACTAAAGCAAAGTTGCTTTTTTTCCTAGAATAACTCTATCGTAATTTTTTTTCATGTAGTTGGCAATGTTGCCGTCATAATTGAGGAAATTATCCCGGCTAGCGCCCACCTAGCTGCACTCAATGCTAAAAAGTGTGAATGCGATTTTGCGAATAGTATCTTTTCGCACTTCTCTGCTCCCAGTCCCGACTTAAGTCGCGGCTGTGTTAATAGACTCCTTTATAATGATATTATTACTAGTCCGGTTCACATTGCTCAACAGGAAACGTTGATATATTATGATAGTATTGAGTACGAACTTGGATGATGGTTTAAGTCTCAAATATAGTTTAAATCACAGCCATGGGCCTTCGCTCCTGGGATCACCAGGCTCGTTCTCAATACTGATCGTAACCATTCACCTGGCAGTACTGCTATGACCTTGCTGTCTTGAATATGTTCACGGGGACAGGGTCGCAGCGGTTTAAGGGCTTGAAATAACGGAGATCATCTTATCCCCAAGATATATGACAGCGTCCCCTGATCTAGATACTAAATCTAAACATATTGCCTGACCTAGGTCTTCTAATGGCGAATGCTTTCTTGAACGTTATTCAAGTGTGGAAAGCTGCGTTGCTAATATGATCGTACCATTTCGCTAGTTCAAGTTGGGATGGCGATGATAAAGCTAGCTAACATCTTTGCGTCTTGTTTAGAGAGAAATATTCTGGCTTTATAAGCAATCTTTTGCAGAGTACTTGATTCCGAGAATATGGCCTTAGGCCGCTCTTGTCACTCTGAGAAACAGTCTTTAACAGGATTCTTTTCATTACTTTCCGGTTGCCCTTGAGCTCGCTCAGCTGCCGCTTTTATCTCGTTCACGCTTGCGATTTCTGTTGAACCACAACATAGCTAAGAGATCAGCGTTATATCTGCGGGAGCAATAAAAGGGCAGTCGTCTACCAACAGCTCTTAGCTCGGCACCTTTAAAACCGAGGATTGGCGATGGCAGCGACCTGGCCAACAGAAGGCTTCATACGCCGCATACCCAGGACAGTAACTCATACCGGTACACGAACACAGTTATTTGGCAGTGAATCCTTCGGGCTATTTGCAATCGGTAGGCTTTCGATCAACGGCAAACTGCCCAATACGCTCATGATCGATCCATTCCGGAAAGCCGACGCTGCTGGTTCCAAAACATACGATATCATAAGAATCTCTCAATTGAACAAAGCAAACTTAGCTAAAAGATTCCTCGCTATACTTGGTACTATCCGACTAGTATTGTGAGCTCATTAAGCTTTAAGCACAACATGATCTGAATGAGTCGAGGGTGTTAGCAATAGGACATAGGTCGAGTCGTGTGGCTTAGCTTGGTATTATTTGCCACGGTCATCTAATTATGTTTATATGAATGATTGTTATGGTTCTAGTGTTGATGTTGTTTATATTATCGAGGACTAGCAATATGGTCGCTGTCGGAGATCCTTATTTGTATGCGGAATACAATCTCTCTCAATTTTGTGTAATGTCTTGGCGCGGCTTTCGCTTGATGCTCGAGGCACATATTTCTCTATTAGCCCAAAATTTAAATGTATCTTCAGTGGCTGGTTGGCGCAATGGTAGCGCGTGGTCCTCCTATGTAAGGGTAGACTGAGGTTGCGGGTTCGAGTCCCGTGCTGGTCGACTTTTTGATCATTTTGTGTGCTTCTATTCTTACTGCGGGCGAGTCTTGCATATGCGTTAGAACAAGAAAAAAGGAGAAAATTACAAATTCCTACGTTGACTTTATATAATGCTTTATACGGCTGATAAATTTTTTTTCTAAGAACACCCATAATCAAATGCTATTATTAAAGTAACCAAGCTTAAAGATAACAATTAATAATACAAATAAATATAACATATCATAGTTATAAGTAATACTTAACAAATTGCCAGGCATGGCATACTTCAAAAAGTATCAGGTTATATGTTGAAAAGGCTTGACTAGTCAAACGCGAGCCCACAGAAATTGGATCTACGTGGGGATCCCTGTACGCGGGTCTACTGCGTGGTCGCGGGTTAGACAGAGGTAGGCACATGCTACATACAGCAAGCGCGGAGCTTCGAACGCTTCCAGGTTTGTGTAGCGTCAATTCAGTCTTTACCTACCTATATTGCTACAGATTATTTAGTACTTACTTAATCTTCACGTCCCTCGGCTTCTTCAAAAATTTCCGTACACACGATATTTATGTTCATTGTATGTACCCTCTAGCAATTGAGATTCTCACCGGGCAACCCAAGGCATCCTGGAGATTGTCATATCGTACTGGCGCTATGTCTATGGTCCAAGGTAGCTGATCGAAGAGTCGTCACCATGGCCACCGACGGTGACCTGCCGAAACGGCAGATGACACCTGTTCCTGCGCCTGTCCTCCCGCCATCCTCCCTTCCGCAGAAACGGGCTCTCGAGGACGACCACGCGCCGCCCGTCTCATCGCCGCTCAACCCAAACCCCGACCTAAAGCTTCCCAAAACCCAGTCCCACGATGACTTGGCAGCTATGGCTCGCGATAAGCCTGGGCGAGCTAAGAAGGAGTCGCTCAAGAAGCGCGAATCCAAAGCTGGCGCCGGTGCGGACAGCTCCCGAGCCACGCCCGACCCCAAGGCCAAGGAACAGCTCCCGAGTGAGTCTTCGCCTTTGCGATATAAGCTAGCTCCTCCGAAACGCTCTGATTTCGACACTGCGCGAGGCCCAGTGTTTGCCCATCACCACGATATCACCACCCCCGATGGCTCTACGGTCCAGTTCTTTGAAACCTCGGAACAGTGGGTACCCTCTGCATGGTCATATATATCTAGATGCTGTCCCTTCTAACCCGCTTATTAGCGTATATAACAAAAAGAGCTACCACTACCTACACTGCATCGCCGATCCTGCCTTCCCCTCCTCCTTCTACTACCGCCAGACCGAGCCTGAGCCCTACGGCCCCCACATCAGCTTTGAGGATGCCTCTACGCACATGTACTTGGATCAGTCAGGGCGCCACATAACGACAGATAAGGGGTTTCGGATGGCAAGAGCAAATGTCGCGGTACGCGAGGGTACTTGGTATTGGGAATGCAAGATTACGAGAGGAATACTCAAGGATAGAAGCCAGGGCGAGTCGCATGGCCATGTCCGCTTAGGTTTCGCCAGGCGGGAAGCTTCATTAGATGCGCCTGTAGGTTTTGACGCTTATAGCTATGGGTTTCGAGACGTTGCCGGCCAGAAGGTACACATGTCCCGGCCCAAAGACTTCTTCCCTCCGGGCGAGGATATGGAAGAAGGCGATGTGATTGGACTGGAAATTAGACTGCCCTCTGAGCATTTACACAGGAAGGTCGTCCAGGGACGATATAACCCCGCTGTAGATTTGAGCGAAGAAGAAGAATCCACCATCGAGGCGGCCAATATCGTCCGGGACAGGATACCTATTAGATTCAAGGCTCATATATATTTCGAGAAGATCGACTACCACACGACAAAAGAATTGGAAGACCTGATGAACCCGTCACCAGTGGGGCCGTCAGGTCAGGCAGGCACTAGGCCAGGAGACAAGCCGAACCCGAACCACTCAGTCCCGGCCCTACGAACATTACCAAACTCTTATATCAAGGTTTACAAAAATGGGGTGCTCATGGGCACTCCATTTACTGATCTCCTTGCATTCCTGCCGCCGGCCTCGAAACCGCAAGTACAGGTTGGCGCACGGGAGGGCATGGATGATGGCATGCTTGGCTACTATCCCGCAATCAGCGTATTTCGGGGCGGCGCCGTCGAGGCAAACTTTGGCCCGGACCTATGGTGCCCCCCCCCAGGCTTTGCAGGTCCTAAGAATGACATTGAGATGGTCGACGTAGACGAGGACACGGTACGCGTAGGCATGCCGCAGCAGAAGAAGCTCGATAGGATCCGGACTATTGCGGAGCGCTACGACGAGCAGATCGTGGAGGATATCGTTGCTGATATCGTCGATGAGGTTGACTTCTGGATGCAGGATGGTGCGCGCGTTCTTGATCGCACGGGTGGCCGTGATGAGAAAGCGGAGCCGGTCGGTATTGCACCTGCGAGCGAGGAGATCAAGGAGTTGGTGCAGGACGATTAACCAAATGATTATGCACCCTTGAGACAACCCTTACGTATGCTGCGATAATATGGAGGAAGTAACGAATGGAACTGGCCTCAAGACTCACAGCTCACAAGTGACGGGACCAGGTTTTGGCAAGATGCTGACGGTTTTTCGTAAGAGTCCAGTATAGTTTGAGCTTGGCTGGTCAGGATGAACCCCTCCCAGGTGACCATCACCATCTAAAAGACAGGATAGCAAGACAGCCAAAAGAATCGGCTGCTTCAACAATACATAAGTCAGGAAAGGGCCTTCTGACTTCGTAAATTGGTCTGGGAATAAATAGATAGCATTTATCTGTGGCCTGAAGAATAGGACAAACATCCTGAACACACCACAAAGCTACTAGTGGATGTGTGATATCTAAAAACGTTTACGACTTACCAAGTTTCCGTGGCAATTTCACCACAGCTGCACATATTCAAGATTATCGATAAGTAGCAGCACGAGGAATTTAACTTGTTAGATTTATTCACATCACTAGTCATTTGCAAGCTATCTCTTTCCTAGTAGCAATGAATGATAGTTTGGAGTAATCAACCATTAAATTATATCCACCCGCTACTACGTAGCCATAAGCCAAACCGAAACCAAACTATCATTAAAAAAATCCGGGTATCATTCCACTATCGTCATGATCGCGTTGCCATATATATCATCGTCGAAAGCAAATCAGACATGCACTTTTTCTGCCTTTTCATGTGCGGTGTCCTTGCCAGTCACAGGGACGTTGGCGCCTGTAGCACTGCCTCCCTTGACTTTAAACGCATCACCAGCCACTTCAGACCCAGGGGCAGGAAGCTGCGGATCATCAGGCAGCTCCTCGACTCTTGGCTTGCCATCAATCGTATCGTCAGCCGGTCCCTCCGCAGCCGCGAGCTCGGACGCCTCGCGCTCCAGGCGCACCTCGCGCCCGCGCTTGTGGCAATACCACAGCATAGAGAGCAGCAAGAACACCGCAAGACTCCATAACACGTTAGTCCCCACGAAAGCGGGGAAACGCGTCTTCAGCGCGTTCACAATGCCCTTGAGCAGTCCGACAACCGCACCCGGCTTGGTGACGAGATCGTGTAGACTCCCGGGTGTCAAGAACTTCTTCGCGGCGCCCTTGAGGCCTCCCTTACCGCCCTCTTCGGCCGCATGCAGCCCCTGCGCCTCGGCAGCGGCGACCAGCAGCTCAGGCGCCAACGTCGAGGTCAGTTTCTCAGGAAGCTGCGCGACGAGCTTCTTCAGGCTTTTGGGGAGCTTCTCGTAGTTCCGGGCCAGGATGCCATCGCGGTCGTCGAGGAGCTTGACCAGGTCTCCGTATGCCGTAGGCACGCCATTCACGAGGTCCTTCAGCACTTGGGTGAATTTGCGGACCATTTCTGCGGATTCGGCGGACAGCGAGAAGGCCTTGTTGTTTTGCGCGGAGAGATTGAGGTCGTCGAGAACACGCGCCATGTCCTTTTTCTCATGCGACGCCTCGGAAGTAGAGGGGACGGCTAAGTGGTCTGGTTTGAGGCCAGATGCCGCGGGTTTCCGGCGCATGGAAATGTTGCGGGAGAGGTTCGTTACGAAAGAGAAGCGCTTAGGTTTGTCGCCTGAAGATCTTGGCTTCTCTTTTTCCTTCTCTTTACCCTTATCCTTACCCTTGCCTTTCTTGTCCGTCTTGTCTTCATCTTTGCTAATCATACTGGACGCGTCGCTGTCTATATCAATGACAGGCGTCTTGACGCGAGGTGGGAGAGGGGGCGGGTCCTCGTCTTCCTCGGCGTCATCATGGGCGCCTGCATCGGGCGACGTGAGCCGCTCGAGAAACTCTTCGTCTTCGTGATCAAGTATAGGTGTGGCTTCGCGCGAGGTGTCGTCGGGCTTGGAGATGATCTTGGGAGAGGACGGAGTAGGCGCAGCTTCTGATTTGGCTGGTGCTTCCCCTTTGGCAATTCCCGGAACAACTTCCTTCTCTTTTTCTGATTTCTGCTTGTCGGTCTTCTCCTCCCGGTTCTTCTTCGACTTTTTGGATGAGAAGTATTCTAGCATCTTGGTAGATATAAGATTGAATCTGGAACCCAAAATTAACTAAGAGGGATTTCGTACTTAAAACTGTTTACGAAATGTTCAAGAAAATATCTACCGAGCTTCAGAGCATAAGCCTATTTTATACTCTCACGCGAGACGCGAGACAAAAGGTGTGAATTGTCTAGTGGGAGGCCTTGATTTTGGGGATTGACTTGGATGTAGTACGTCAGTGGTTGCACCGCCACACCCCAGCTACAGGGCGTGGCGAAAGCTTCTGAAACCACTACATTGGAAGCCTGGCAGGCGATAGGCTAGCCAGACGTGCTAGGCCTGCTAGGTTACTGCATAACCTGTCGCGCGGCTACCGAAGCCTCTGGCGAGTCAGATCGCTGAGGTTTTGCTTAGACTCTCATACGAACCTGAAACAGATATCCCATGCCAGCAATTGCATTGTTCGTTTTCGTCCTTAGAGAGCTTAGCATAGCTAGGAAGCCTAAGTATTAAACAGATGAATGACCAATACAAGGCTAC